CCCGCCCTTCCCCTCACATCAGGGCGCTGCAACAGAAAACGTTGTGCCGGTCAGGTTTTCGATGTTCTCGGCCCTTGGAGGCAGCTTCCTGGCCCTTGACTGTCCATCGGCGGCGAGCGACGGGGGGAGTGAGAAGGAGGAGGCTTTCTCAGAAGGCGGCGGGGCTTCTCAGAAGCCCTCTGGCCTTCTGAGAAGATTTCTGTGTCTGCGGGGAAGGCATAGCAAACCTCCCAGAAGGCTAGGGGGCGCCCGAGACTTTGAGAAGGCCCGCCTCTATTTCCCCCCCGAGCTCGCCGAAAGGGGGGGGGGGGGTGGAGGGCTGCAGGAAAGGGGCCTTTGCGGCCCCGAAGGTGCACGATAGGCGCACCCCTGCACGAAGCAGCGCCTGACGACCCTCAAGGTTCGAGTCTCGAGGGGTGCGGGCGCTCTTCGCGCCAGGCTCGGCGGCGAGCCGAGGGCGGGGAAGCGAGAGGGGCAGGCCTCCTCGGAAGGCGGCGGCGCTTCTCAGAAGCCACGCCGCCCGCGCGCGGGCCCGGGAGCAGCCCCAGCTCTGCAGGGGCACCCTGTATCTCCTCCCTCCTCCTCCTCCTCCTCCTCCTCCTCCTCCTCCTCATCCTCCTCCTCCTCCTTCGCTTCGCTTCGCTCGCGGCTCGATGTCTAATAGACGAAGCCGTTCGCGCGGCCGCGGCCGCGCGCGCGCGCCCGAGGCACGCAGTGGGGGCCACCCCCCCGACACGGGCCCCCGCCAGGAGGGCAAGGGTGAGAAGCCGCCTAGGCCTCGCTGGGGGAGGGGCGGGGGCCGAAAGGGGCCGAGAAAAAAAAGGGTGCCCAGGAGTTTCGGGGCAGAGGGAAGGAAGAGGGAGAGGCCACATGGGGGTGGCAAAGCGGGGCGGGGGGAGGGGGCTCATTAAAGGCCTGGGGAGGAAGGGAGTCCACCCCCATGAGGCCTTCACGCGGGCGGCGGCCCAGGTCACGCCTGGACCGTGTCCTCCCCCCCCTCTCCATTGAGGGGGCGTTCGTGATGGTGTCGGCGGCCGCCTTGATCCCTACGGTCATCTTGCCGCGGTAGGCGTCCGCCTCGAAGCTCTTGGGCCCTGTTACGGCCAGCTCGGGTCGTCGGATCTGCAGGCTGCAGTCCGACCTCCAGGGAGCAGGCTGCTCAAGACGGAGTCGACGAAATCGTCGAGTGGGCTGCTGTGCTCGTGGGAGGTGCCGTCGTAAATGGCGTAGAGGTTGCTGGTGGAGTCAATCCTGGTCGGTCTTCTCGTGGCAGTTCTCTCCGTAGCGTAGTGCATCTGCTCGGTCGTCCACATCAGCGACGGACCCGCTGGGGCTGCGGATTGCGCTAGTAGTACAGGTACTTCTGCAATGTGGGCGGCATGGAAGATGTGGATGGCTAGGCGGGCATGGTGGTTCGCGATCAGTCGACGTTCCGCTGCCTTGCCTCCAAGGTTTACTCTTCCCCATGGGTCCGAGGTTGTTCTGGAGGATGCTGCCGTTCTGTCGTGGATGTCGCCATCACCTTGGTCGATCCAAGTGCTGGGTGTGAGGTTGATCGTAACTCCTGCGAAGTCACCCTGTCGAATGTGCTGGTGGATCAAGTCAAGGGCGTCGTACTGGGATGGGTGTTCGGCGGAGTAGAGATCGTCGAAGGTCATAGTAGCCAGTTCCATAACCATTCCATTGTAGCATAGTCGTTGGTCCGTGATGTCGAGCAGATCATTCGGGTGTCTATCGGTGTTGGTGAGGTAAAGCAGGGATCTGTTTCTGGTCGGTGTCCGAGGGTAGTGGGCTGGTGGTGGTGGTGTAAGTTCTGCTACAGTCGGGAAAAAGGGCGGTGGTGAAGGTGATAGGTCAAGGGAGGGTAATGGGGTGACGTCGGATGCGTGGGCAGGGATGGGATGGTATAGTTCGGGGCGGCCTCTGCGTTTGTTGTCGGCTATGCTGGCCGCGTAGATCGCCTGATTGGTGGCCACGTCCTCCTCAGTGAGGGCAGGTCCTTGTAAATACCACATATACCATGACCGTCGGCATCGGGCTACCGTGGTTAGATGCTTCACTAGCTTGGCGAAGGAGTGGAAGTTCTGGCGGCATATTCTGCACGATGTACCCGATGCCCAGTTTCGCGGATGATCAGGTCGTCGGTGTTCCCGTCCGATATGTATTGCCATGCCCTGCTTTGTCTTGGTTACTATTCCGCACTCGTAGCAAATGAAGTTGCTGTCGCCGTTGTCACGTGATGGCGTGGTGCCCGCCCCGATGGGGCCGTCTGGTCTGAGCACCTTGGTCAGCTTGTCGGCGTGGGCACTGTCTTTAGAGGCGCGGATGTAGTTTGTGACAGCCAGGTTGACGGAGTTGGTGAAGTGCCTCGGCGTGGTGCGAGCCCATGCGATGATGTCGGGGTCGAGCTTGCTGGTCGTGGGCCAGCGCTGGTCGTCCAGGTATGTGCGCAGGAAGTCGAAGTCCTGGAAAAGCATGTATGTCCATGAGCCCTTTCTCCGTCGCTGGTTGTCAAGCAGTTGTAGGAGCTGCTGAGGAGCGTGTCGTAGAAGCCGTGGTAAGTATCGCAGCCGTCCAGCAGACTGGTGGTGGTCGAAGTCGGGGATGCCGGTGTAGGCTACTACTTCGGTGGCCGTGAAATGATGAAGCTGCGAGTTAACTTTGGGTAATCCAGCTGCCGTGCGATAGGGCTTCGAGTAGGCGTTGGATATGCGCTGGTGGTCAGTCTGAGTCAGTGCTGGCCAGACGTGATGGTTGAAGGTCAATGAGGCAGTCGAGAGGGCGTGCACGTACTTGATCTTCGTTTTGCGGGGTAGGCGTCGACGTCTTAGGATTTGCCTCTCCAGAGCTCGTGCCGAAGCGTCGGTTCGTTGCATGCGATTCTGCACCTCGGGGCCCATGCTGCCGTTGGTTATGATGGTGCCTAATAGTCGGTGCTGGTCTGTGATTTGGACCGAGATCGACATGATGCTCAACTTGATTGATGTAATGTTTTGCTGTGCAAGCCTGCTGCGCACGACGTTGGAGCCCGTCCCGTTAAAGGAGATGATGACCTTGGTCTTGTCTGGGTGTGGCTTGAGCCCGTATGTAAAGGCTGTACGGCATAGACGTTCAGCTGAAGTTCTCGTAATGTCAATGATGTCGGAGTGGTGTGTGGTCGAGTTGAAGTCGGTGAGGTCGTCGACGAAGGACATGTTGGTCAGCTTGCCGCCTTGGTGAGGGGCCGTAGAGAAGAGCGGGTTGTCGCAGGGGCTGATGTGGTGGCCGCTTTCGCCGTCTTCTGCCCCTTCAGCGTCGTCGGCGATGGCCTGAAGCACCAGGGAGAAATGCATGTTGAAAGCTGCGTCGGAGTATGGCACCCCTGGCCTGGTACTGGTGCGAGGGATCACGTATGCGTCGGTGCCCTTGGCGGTCATCCAGTTGGCCGTGTGGTGGTCGGCAACTAGGGCGCAGAGGTGAGAGTCGTCGACGTGGGCGTTGAGATGTGCTGGGCAGCGAAGACGTTGTCGTAGGGATGGGAGTAGGCATATGGGAATCTCGATGTTGTCGATGACGTCTTCGAGCTCGTCCTCCTGAGTCGGCAGCTGAAAAATGAACTCCTTTATTACCGAATGGAAGGCTTCTTTCAAGTCCAGGAAGAGGATGCTGCCCGTGCGAGCCTGTGTACGGCAGTCGTCCAAGAAAGTGTAGGCGGTGTGAGTGATGAAGTCGGTCGCCTTGTGAGGGACGGCGCCGCATTGTGTGTCCATGAGCAGGTCGGGTAGGATGTCGCGGAAGAGGCCTCTCAGGAACTTGCTGTTGATCTTTCCTATAGTGTTGTTCAGGAGGATGCCCCTGTATGCTTTCTGCAGATGAAGCTGTCCTTGTCCTTTGGAGAAATGGGTGGAGAAACCGCCCTTCGCCGAAATAGGCTCCGTCGTCATCATTTGCATCTTCATCATGATAGGGTGCAGAAGTCGGGCAATCTGGCGCGGCGCTGCTCGTGCCATGTCGTCGGCGTTCCCGTCGGGCCCGCCGCGTTTGCCTTTCTTGGCGGCTGCCAGGGCGGATGTCAGATTGTGGATGGTCTGGACGTTGTCGATGTGGGGTATCGGCTTGGTGTGGGCAGTCTTGTTGTTGTAGTACTTGACGACGCCTTCGATGTCGGTGTTGATGCCGTTCTCTATGTTGCCGTAGTATCGAAGGGCGTGCTCCGCACTGGCTTGTGGCGTTGTAAGTGGAGCGCCGTCATCGTCTTGTCGTATTTTGGGAGTCGGAGTTCTCTTAGGTGTGCGGCCGCCGTATGTTAGTAATGCCCTCACGTTTGCCCATTCCTGCCGCGGGGCGTTCCCTGCAGCTGATAGTATCATGTTGTCGGAGAGGCGCTCGAGGTGGGCGTCGCGGTCGTGATCGAGGCGGTTCCTAAGAACTCTGTCGGTATCTTTGATGAAGCTCATGTATGAGTCGAAAAGGTTTGTAGTGAAGGTGGTTGTGCAGTGGGTGCTGTCGTGGTATGGAGCCGTAGTCTGGTCGGGGTCCGCGTGGTTGATAAAGAGGATGGTCTTGATCATCAGCTGAGTATATCCAGGGAT